CCCGCCCGCGCTGCTCCGGGAGACGCGCCGGCCTCGCTGGGAGCGGCCCCGGGGCTCTGAGAAGGCTCGTCCCGGAAAACTGGGGCTTTTCCTCCAGAGAGCTCGGCGTGGGCTGGCACCCGGCCTCCGTGGGGTCTTCCTCTTTGTGACTGGGCTCGGTGCGGTGCTAACGGGAGAAAAATCTCTGGCTGCTCGTCTAGCTTGCTGCTGGGAACTGTCAGGATGCGAATGTTTGGAGCGTGCGGTGGAAACGGAGCGCTCTGGGGCTTTTTTGGAGAGGGAAATGGGAGAGGAGAGCCCTAGTGGACAGCTTGTGCTCATTGAATAAAAGAAATTAGCTAGCGGACTGCGGTTTTTTATGATCTTTGAAGAAATTAAAACGCGTTTGGCCCTGGTAAAAACGCTTTCTTCGGGTTTTTTTTTTTGCTTTTGGGTCTATTTTGGCAGCTGGTAGGTGCTGAATCCTCGGTGGTGGCATTTGCTGAGCAGTAAGCTTTAAAGCTATAAATTAAACTCTAAGCTTAACTTTAAAAGCTCTGTTTAAACTTATAACTGCATTTTTATAAACGTCTGCCTGTGACCAGAAGGCATCTTGCAAACAAGAGTGAAGTTTGGGGTGACTGTGCAGGAGTGTGGGTGTTTTCTTGGCCGTGTGAGCACAGGATGAGATTTGTGTGCCCCAAAAGAGAGGATGAAGTCCTGTTCTACTAAATGTTTTCAGATTCCTTCACGGCCATCCCTTCACAGTGCTTTTAAGTGTTATTTTGCATTTTCCCCTCAAGCTTTCCATCAATGCTTTTGACTATAACTGCCACTTGGATCTGATAAAGCTGCTGCGCCAGGAGGGAGAGCTGGTCAAGCTGAGAAGAGCTCGTCAGAAGATGAGTGAACTCTTCCCACTTACTGAAGGTACAGGGCATCTTCTCCTCACTTTGCATCATCTGTGTAAAACTGTTGTTTCACTAGTGAAATAGTAGTGCAAGGTTTCCTTGCTGCAGCCCAGAGGGACCTAAAAGGCTGGATTTGGGACTTCTTTAAGTTCAGGGTGCTGCTGGCCAGCATTGAGCTTGGCTCCTAATGGGTTCAAGGTGAGCCTGGAATTTGAGTTCTTGTGCCTGCCCTGTCCTTTGGCAGAGGCTGCTGTGGTGGTGTGGGACTGGGAGGACTGGGAGGGGGTGTCTGCATGTGCCCACCTCCTCCACTCTCTGCTCTGGCTGGCTGGGTGAGTTACTGGGGGGGGCTGTGACCCACTGTAGCCTGTTGCTCTGGGGCTGGTAACATCCAGCTGTGGGGTGGCAGCACTGAAACAGCTCCAGCTGTTGGGACTGTGAGTCAGAGCCCAGAGAAACTCCTGATAAAAGTTAAACCTCCCCGTGGAGCAGCAGAACAACGTTGGTGGCAGTTGCAGGTAGCCCTGGAAGGGGATTTTCCTTTGCTAGACAGGCTGCAGAGGTAGAGGCAGTGTCAGTGTTGCAGAGGCTGCTCTGCCTGTGTGCTTTGAGGGAAAGTTTCCTCCTGTGCCTGTGAAAATTTGCAGCCTCTAAAGGTCTCTAAAGCCATTTGCTGTTTCTTGGAGGAGTGTGAGGGAAGGGAAACTTCTGGATGCATTTTGAGTTGCTAGTTCATCCTGATCCCCTGCCCAGGGTGCTCCTAAATACCTGCTGGCAACTTCTGCTCTAGTTCACTTTGTTTGGTACCAATCTGAAGAAGCCTCTACCACATTTTGAAGTTAAATCCATCTCGAGGAGTTGTGGAGGTTAAATTGCTCCTTTCTCCCCTTTGGCCCTCTCCTCGTTTTAAAGTCTTACTAAAAACTCATCCAAAAAATTCAACAAGGGGCATGTTAACTTATCCTTTCTGAACGTTGGTGCTCTGAACATCTTCTTTTCAGAAATTTGGCTGGACTGGCTGAAGGATGAGATAAAAATGGCTTCTGAAAGCTCGGAGCGGGAGAAGGTTTATGAGCTGTTTGAGAGAGCTGTGAAAGACTACATCTGTAAGTTCTTAACCTGGGTGCAACATAATGCATTTCACAGCCTGTATTATGGGTTTCTTTTTCTAGGAGTGTTTTTTTCTGTCACAATGTAGAAATTGGAACAAAAAATATTCCTGTGAAGCGATCCTGGGATTTTCTGCAGCGTTGGAGTAAAGGGTGTTCAAAGGCAATGCTTTAAGTGCTGCTGCAGGCTTTAAGATCTTCTAAATGGATGTTGGGCAGTTGTAAATGTGTATTTTATCCTCAAATCTTTAGAAGCAGCAGGTGCTGTGCTTAGGAAATGCTTTCACTGCTGTCCTTTGTGGAGCTTTAGGCTCTTCGGTGCTGAGGGCCACCGGTTTAGAATCATGGAATGGTTTTGGTTGGAAAAGACCTTTGAGATGAAGTCCAGCCTGTTCCAGCACCACCTCCCCATCTCCATCATGATGCTGCCTCTGCAGTCTCTGAGCAGATGAGTCTGGGGAGAGGAGGTTGAGCTGCTGGGAGTGCTGCAGGGCTGTGACGGGTTCACGGCCCCAGCTCTGCGTGTGTGCTCCAGGAAACTGCAGCGGCTCTTTGGGGTCCTGGATGCATCTCTGGTGGTGGCATACAGGAGTCACTCGGTGTCACAACACCAGAGTGGCTCCTTTCAGAAGAAAAATGTGAGCCAGAAATATAGATTAAAACATTTTAAGTTTTCTTCTTCACTGTGTCGTGACGGCGAAGAAAATTCTCACGTGGCGGTTTATTTATATTGGCCAAATGAGGGGTTTGGGGAGCAGACAGTGGCCTTTTTCTTATTGTTTTTGAGGGGGATTAAGTCCTCTCTTTCCCATCACTTTGTGAAGGTCCTGAAATTTGGTTGGAGTACGCCCAGTATTCGATTGGTGGCATTGGTCAGGAAGGAGGGATTGAGAAAGTTCGCTCCATATTCGAGAGGGCGTTGACTGCAGTCGGCCTGCATGTGACCAAGGGAACAGCTCTCTGGGAAGCATACAGAGAGTTTGAGAATGCCATCCTGGAGACAGCCCAGGTGAGAAGCCACTTGTCTAGCTCCTGAAGTCCCCTCGCCCTCAGCAGCCTCTCCTGAGAGGCTGTCATCTCACACCGTTGAGGGTTTTTACCTGTAGAGACTGACCCTGTGGTCTGGCAAAAACCTTTTGTGTATTTAGTTGATATTTAAATGCAAATCCATTACTCTAAGATCATAAAATATATCCAGAAGCAAAGTTTTGTTCTGCTGGTTAAGCTTTGAACTGACAAGAACAGCTTTAAATTGAGTAGTTTGATTATTAAGCACTTATGTTCTTGCCAGCCTACTTCCACTTTAATTCATGCATTATTTCACACTTGTCTGACTTTTTGTGTTACCCCAGGAACATACAACTTGACATCTGCAAAAGACACCTTTACAAGATGGCCAGATAAATACTTAGTTTTTTTTTTGTAGTTGACTACATACAATATGGAGATTAAAAGATGTCCCTGCCCACAGTGTGGGTGGGGTGGAACTAGATTGTCTCCAAGCCCATTCCATGAAATTCTCTAACAGGGGAGTGACAGGAGAACCCCTTTTCATTCCCAAACAGAAAGCAAGCTGCAAGTTTTAAATCCTCCCCAGGGATTTATTGAAAACCTGTCTGGCAGCCCAGGGAGTTTGTGACATGGCATGGTCACAAGCTGCTTACTTTTTTTTCAGGTTATTTCTTTATGCCCTTGTTGGCTTTCAGAGGGAAACACTTCCCACATGCCTCCACCTTTTGAGCCTAGCAACCCCCAAGTTTTAACTTTCTCAGTGGTGGCCTGGAACACAAGTTGGTTCTGCCTGTCCTCCAAGCATCACATAATCACTTGGAGCCCAGATCCCCCAACTCAAAAGCAACACCCCAGCGTGTTCATCCAGCTCAGGCTTGAGGGAACTGATTCAATGTCAATCCTTGTGTTTGCAGCCAGCTCCTGGCAGTGTTCCATCCCCTGAGCAGCAGCAGATGCTCTGCAGCCAGCTCGAGAAGATCCACACGCTCTTCAGGCGCCAGCTGGGGATCCCTCTGCTAGGTGAGAGCCAGAGGACTTCTGTGGTGGTTGAGCAGTGACATTGGCTGGTCTGTAGGGCCTCTGGAATGATACACAGATCTATTTCTGAGCAAAAGGGTCTTGCTTGTTGAAGCTGGATTTATCTGCTGCCTCAGAACATCATCAGAGGCTATTTACAGGACGAGGGGTGAGCATGACACATGACTGTTGGGAGGTAGGAATTCAGCTGTGATGATCACTGCCTAAGAACCTCACTTGGGAGGGAGTGGTGCACACTGACAGCTGCAGGGCTAGAGCCCTTGTGTGTCTGGTTCATACTTCAAACTCCCTCAGTCTTTTTTTCTTGCTGCTTTGCTTATAGGAGAAAGTTAAGTCCAGTTTGGCTTCTTGGAGGACGGTGTTCTTAACGTGGCCCACCCCCAACAGGACAAGGGGGGATAGTTTTAAACTAAAAGAGGGAGTTTTAGGCCAGGGAGAAAGAACAAATTTTTGCTGCTGAGGGTGTTGAGCCCCTGGATCAGGTTGCCCAGAGAGGTGGTCACTGCCCCATCCCTGGAACCATCCCAGGTGAGGTTGGAGGTGTCTCTGAGCACCCTGCTCTAGCTGCAGATGTCCCTGCTCCCTGTAAGAGTTAGACTAGATGACCTTGAAAGGCCCCTTCCCACCCAAACCAGTGTGTGATTCCACGATACAGAATTTTTCATTTGCATATTGAAATAGTTTTGGGTTGTTTTATCTTCTTTAAAGCCTTGGGGAAAAAATCTTGTCACTTTGGTTTTTCTCCATCCCAATCAGCAGCTTTAAGGCAGCTTGCCCTGAGTTTGTGTTGCGTTGTACAAGGTGAAGTGTCTGAAGCCTTGAAGTAGTGTGGCAAACAGAAATAATCTGTGTTGGGATCAAAAAGACAGGTTGAATTCTGCTTCTTTGGTCCAATGAGTGTGTTACTGAGGGGGTTTCATGTCTGGTTTCATAGATATGGAGGCTTCCTATGCTGAATATGAGGAGTGGTCGGAGGAGCCGATACCAGAAACGATAGTGAAGAGTTACAAAAAAGCTCTACAGCAGCTGGAGAAGTATAAACCCTATGAAGAGGCACTGGTAATGCTGTTACACACACCTGCCTTTAAAGGGAAGAGTTAATTGCTTCTTTTTTGTTATTTCCTAGGCTTTATTTTCCTAGTCCCAGAGCTAAAGCAGCTGGGTGTTACCGGGTGAGACTTTCAGCTGTGAGCAATGGGCCAAAAGCCTCACAACTGGGGGTGCTGGAAACTGCAATCTTATTGACTGTCAGGCCACCCTGAGGGGCACAGGAGTGCTCTGGCTGTTCCTCCCAGCATTGACAAGCCCCTTCTGGGCTAAGAGGAACCAAAATCAGGGACCTAAATGGCTTCAGAACCAGGGTGGTGTTCAGAGAGACGTGAAAATCGAAAGCTGTCGATACCTAGAGGCCAAGCTCTGTTCTGAAATTTTGCATGAGACCTGTCTGAATAACAGCTGAACTGCTTGAATCCTGCTTTGTTTAGAAGAGTTTAACTTTTTTTGTTTGTTTGTTTGACAGCTGGGTGCTGAAACACCAAAGTTAGCAGAGTATCAAGCTTACATTGACTTCGAAATGAAGGCAGGGGATCCAGCTCGCATTCAGCTGATCTATGAGAGGGCTCTGGCTGAGAACTGCCTTGTGCCAGATCTTTGGGCACGCTACAATCAATATTTGGTAAGGAAAACAACTCAGATGGTTGCAGTTTTATTTTCCTGGCTTTTGAAATTCTTCTTACTTTTGGTGGCTGATAAACAACCAGGATGTCTACCTCAGTCCTGCCTCGTAGCCTTTAAATTCTTCAGAACCCTTGTCCTTGTATCCTCCCCTCTTCTAAACATGCTAAGAACAGTTGGGAATTTACTCAGTGCCTTCCTTATACTTCTCTCACTTGCAGAAAATGGGCTTGGTTAGAAGCAGAGAGTTAGGTACTGTGGAATGTGGTGCTGAGTTCTTGTTTGGGTTGTTCCTGGGCATATCCTTCCTGATTTGAAGTCGTTCCCTGGGGTTTTAGGATGATAGAATTTAACCATCTTGTCTTAGCTTTCCAAATCTAAAGTGAAATGTCTGGTTTTGAGGTGTTGGCTCTTTAAGCTGCTGTTTGTCTTGGGTGATCTCTCTGTCAAACAGGAATTTGAAACTTTTTCTTCTGTGATTATTTCAGGACCGGCAGCTGAAAGTGAAAGAATTGGTCCTGTCTGCTCACGACCGTGCTGTGAGGAACTGTCCCTGGACTGTTGGGCTGTGGATTAGGTACCTTCTGGCAATGGAGAGGCACAGAGTCGATCATGGCACCATTGCTGGTAAAGAAAGACCACCTCAGCAAAGCCACCATACGTAGGATGTCTTGTGTTTTCCCACCTTCCTAGAAAAAACACACATATGACAGACTTTGTGCTATACCCTGTAGCTTTCTAATATTAGAAGTGTTAGAAAAGTAAATATATTTTTTCTCCCCTCTATTTTTCCCTTCAGAAACTTTTGAAAAAGCTCTGAATGCAGGTTTTATTCAGGCAACAGACTATGTAGAAATCTGGCAGGCGTATCTGGACTACCTGAGGAGACGAGTGGATTTCACCCAAGGTGTGTATGATACATCTGTGAGCAGAGATTTCAACTGTGACCAGAGATTTCAACTTTTCTCCCTACCTCTCTGAAGCAGTGGTAATACTTGGTTACAAAAAATTTAACAGTCATTTGATATCTTTCACAAAAATGACTCTGTGGCCAGTTAGTGTCTATAAAATATATGGACTTAGTTGGTCTAAAGCAGTACCTTGCTGACAGAACAGATTGTGCTCTTGCAAAAAACACCCTGCCTTATATTTTAGGTCCTTGTTTTTTTATTTTTTATTATGTAGGCAGTGAGTTTTAGTGAATTAATAAATCTTGACTCCCCCTGCCCTCCAGTAAAGTCATTGTGAGTGTTGAGGAAGAGGTTTTAGTGAATGGGAGATGAAATTTCTGGTTTAAGACAATTCTTTCTTTTCTCTAAAGACTCCAGTAAGGAACTGGAGGAGCTGCGGTCTGCGTTTGCACGTGCTGTGGAGTATCTGAAACAAGAAGTAGAAGAGAGTAAGTTAAATTATCCACTGTATTATTCCCTCTTGTTCAGAATAATTCTTAGACAAGTTCAACTTGTCTTCAAGCGTCTCGGACGTTTTAAGAAAGCTACAGATAAACATTTCAGCTCCAATGCAGAACTGGTTTAATAAACACTTTCTTTCCAAGAGCCACTGACAAAGAGCACTTGTTTGTGTTCCCAGGATTCAGTGAAAGTGGAGATCCATCCTGCACCATCATGCAGAACTGGGCAAGAGTTGAGGTGATGTCTCTCTCTGCTGTATTCCAATTGCTAGACTAGAGGAAATTGGATTGTTTTAATATTCAACCACAGAAAAATTTGGAAGCAACTATAATATTCTTTTTTATAATCACCAAAATGAAATGAATATGTGAGCCAGAAACCAAGGCTGATGTCAGAAGTAGTGTTTGGTGGTAGGGCTGCACTGGGTATTCCCTTTTGCTCTGAGGAGCAGTGCTGTGTGCACCATCTGTGGGCTTTTCTTGTTGGGGGGAAGGTGACAAGGTGGTATGGAGAAATAATTTTGAATTATATTGAGAGTTGAGAAATAATTGTGAATTTTATTGAGAGCTTTGGATGTTTCAGGCTCGCTTATGTAACAACATGCAGAAAGCCAGAGAGCTCTGGGACAACATAATGACTAAAGGAAATGCCAAATATGCCAACATGTGGCTGGAGTATTACAACCTGGAAAGGTAAGAGCTTGGCTGAAGGGTTAGTTAACTTAATTTCCTCATCTGTGTGAGGCTGGGCTGAACTGCTTAGCATGAGTCTCATACCCCAGGAGCTCTGTATTTCAGAAGTATTACTGCAGCAATGATGTGTGGCATGGGGAAGGAGGGGAAGGTGTTGGCTTGGAATGTGGGAGCTTGTCCTGTCTGTAATCCTGCCATGGTTTCCCTGCTGCAGGGCTCACGGGGACACCCAGCACTGCAGGAAGGCCTTGCACAGAGCTGTGCAGTGCACAAGTGACTACCCTGAGCATGTCTGTGAGGTGCTGCTCACCCTGGAGAGGATAGAAGGTAACCAGCTGCACCCTGACTCCTTTTACCCCATCCAGTGTACACTGATAGCCAGTGAATTTTGATCTAGTGCTTTGTGTTCTGATCAAGGCTCGTTTTCTTTTCAATACCATAGCACACACAAGCAGCTCTTTCTTCCTTTTTCTTCTTTCCTGGCCTGAGTTGGAGCCTGCTGAAATGGGTTGGATTTTTCTGTCCCTTTTTT